TTTGCTTGCCTGTTCTTCTTGTCCCATTCCTCCATTACTGGGTCTGTCTTTACTCAGTACTTGCCACAAGTCATCTTTGCTTAGCAGCATTTCTAGAAAACTTCATATCGGAACTACTTGCCATTTTTCAGTAGCTTTGATGCAGCTCTTATTGACTTGCAGTGTTCTATTTAGTGCCTGGGCCTATAACTTGTTGGCTATGTGTTTAAATGAGGCACTAAGATCTCGAGGAATGCTGAATTCAATTGTATTTGCTTATAAGAACGTTACATCAGAACTCAGCATTATACAGCATACATATAGAACTTCCTGTATATCATAGATAAGTATGCATAAGCATAGAGACTAGCATTGCACTACAGCGCCATCTACAGCTCAAAGGACATAATTACACAAGTAATACAATCAGTACATATCAGCATATGCACGTGAATTTTTCCAACAGATGAGACAGATTTTCACCCTACACAGATGCACAATTAAAATGTGGTCAGTGTAAGGCCCCGTTCACATATAGCGAATTGTCGCGCGATTTCCGCCGCGATATCGCGCATTTTTGACGCGCGATATCGCGAGAAGTCGCCGGCCAATGTTATTCAATGGAGCTGTCTTAACTCCATGTCGCGCGTCGCTCGTCGCCGTCGCTTCTACCGGACCCTTTTTTCGGCGGATTTTGCGCGATTTTGCTTTTTTTCTATGGAGCCCGACGGGGAAGGTCGCGCTACCGTCGCTGGATCGTCGCTGGAACGTCACCCGAAAGTCGCGCTATCCCGGCCGTGCGGATCCGCTGCAAAAGGTATGTCGCTATATGTGAACGGGGCCTAAAGCTTTATTTGGTCCCAGTGTCACTTTGTAGCAGCATAGGTAGGACTTTATTATTCCAGCTGTAACCTTGTAGTAAATCTGTTGCGAGATCTTTCTCACTGCACCTGTTTCCAGCTGTTTTGCCATGCGACAGAATTGATAAATGCTCCTTATTGCCTTTTAGAAAAGGGGACATTTATCAAAAAAGTTGATAAAGTGTTCAAAATGTTTCAGACTGTGAAAGAGGGAAATGTGGTTGCTGTTGGCTACTGCAAATCTTTGTTCCTTCTATTCAGAAAAGATTATGTCATACGGCAAGAACCTCTGCTATCACCCAGCAGCTCGTACAATATTCTTTATATTCAGAATCACAAATCTCGGCAGAGTGCCTAGTCTATAAAACAATTGAGTTGGCAGTTTGCTGTGAGCTAATAAAATATTTTTGTTGGGCCGTGTAACTTCCCCTTTAAATGAGTAGAGTGCTTTTTCCTGAGGGGTCAGGAGAAGAGGATGCTGTATCTTATCCCAGAAGCCACCTGCACATCTTCTGACCACTTCCTCTACCGTCAGCTGCACTTTCAACAAGACCCTTGAGCCGAGGGCAATAATGTTAGTCTTGTACTAATATAAAAGCTTCAAAGCTTACACATGTATGTTGGACACTTTCCATGAATGCTATTAGTACTGAAAGCTTATTTAATTTTGTCAAAAGGTGAATTTGTTCCTCCTGAAGTTCCTCAAAAACATCTGTTTGAGTTATGATATTCAGTCCAACTCTCTAATTGTGCACGCTCATTTTGTATCTGTATTGCTGTACTGTATTACTGTCTGTACATCGTCAAGTGGGGTAGAGAGTAAAGCTGGCCATACAACAGCAGAATTTCATTGGAAATGTTTCTTTCTGTGAACATTCATTTGAATTTTTTATGGTTAATGGGCTCTAATCGTTGATCAACAGGATGGAAAATGTTTCTTGTTTATCAACAAATAACATTCTAACCGTGAAACTTTATTTTCATTTGATAAAAATTGTAGATATTGTAATGTGCATATGTTAGGCACAAAAGAGGCTTTTGAACTAAAATAGATGACTCAATGATGGCAAGAAAGAATTCTCTGACAAACCATTTTGAATAAAGGAAATTTTAACAGTGTATGGCCAGCTTAGAGCCCAACTCCATGGAAATTAAAAGTTTTCCCTTGCAGTGGTACTGCCCCATCACTGCCAGGGTTAGTTGCTCATGTATGCCTAGGGGACAGGAAAAAGCTGTTTTGTCTACCTCGTCCCATCTCCCACTGGCTTCTAGACTAGTCCCCGCAGACTGTTCTCCCCTTCACCCCACCAGTCATAGGATGGCTGACATAATTAAGTACAGTGCAGGATCTATGGCCTTGCATTGGACATGAGGACTCTGAGGTAGAGTCCACAGCGGGAGCAGAGGGGGAGGAGAGTGCAGCCTTTGAGGTGAGTGGGCATCAGGTAAGTTAAACAGTTTGCTATTGCCCACGATATGCTGGGAAGGCCACAGCCGGGACGGATCCCGACAATACTGTCTGGATCCACCCAGCTGCGTGATTGACAGCTGTCTGAAAGGGTCTGTTTCATGTTTGCCTTCTTCATTTCCAAGGAACATTGTAGATTTTTATAACTGTCTTATCATGCATTTTATTTTAGGAGAAGTAGTGGGCTCTGTGTCTGTTTGCTATATCATCTGGTTACTTATTAATCTCTACTTCCTCATTTTGTACATATTATTTCTGGGAAATACTTAGCTTCCCGATTGTATTGTTCTAATAAACACTATTTTACTAATTGTTTTGTAGGGCTGAAAGGGTCTGTCTTTTCTTTTTTACACTTTGGAACAAGTTAGCACTACAGTTGACCAATGAACCTTTCAGTTGTACTTGAACTGTTAATCTGACATTCTTGTGCTACATTTAAATTTAGGAGAATGTGGTTTAGATCAGCTTTCTGAAACTATTCGTCTAGTCTGAAGTCAAGTGTGCATATATATAGCTGCCCTATGAGCAACAACAGTTCTAGTCAACATGACTCGACCAAAATTCCATCTGTTTATATGGCCAGCTTAACTCTTTGCACATAGCTTGTGCTTCTCAGCCTTTATGTATCCATGTGTACGGTAATTTATCGCAGTACATTGTTTGATGCCAGACTACTAGGGGCACCTTTCATTTATTTGGCATGATGTGCATGCACAATAACCTATAGTAGCCAATTATAAATCAGCTTTCATAGTACATAAATATACTGAAAGCTGGGTTACATACAGCATATTGTGTGTGTGTGTGTGTGTGTGTGTACTGCATTGCAAAACTGGTAGAGTAGAGGAGAAACATCAATTCCAAGGTGCTTTGCATGACGGAGGGATGACAAAGTATTATACCTGTACATATCCATGGCAGATATAAAAGACACAAATGGATGTGGTACTATATACATTAAAACATAATTACATTGGGATTTTTAAATGCAAGCAGTGAACGTATTTGGACTGGGTATGAGCATCTTGCAGTTCTCACGGGCCAGCATGGAACATGCTTATAGGAGAAGAGAGCAGAGTGATAGATGAGCTTATTAGTGTGCTACTATTCTACTGTGTTCTTGTGTAAAGCATTTGCACAACACTACAAGGATAATCAAAATGTGTGATAGGCTGAGATTCTCCGAACGTAGGCCTAAAGAGCAACTTTCAGTGAGTTGTAAATGCTACAGCTAAAATCCAGCTTACCTTTGGTTACACCACATGCAGTTGAATACACATGCGGTATCATGTTTGATTATATATGCATTGTCATAGGTTTTTAAGGTCTCTAATCAGCTTATATAAATGGGAAACTACAAGTGAATGCTCACATGATTGCAGCATGTAGAATATCGTCATATTGCACTTCATTGCAAGCTTTGTTGACAACGGGTTCCACTTGGTGTGAATGAGCCTGTTATTGGGATTTTATATAATTTGCTACAACAATAGATGTTTCACAGCAATTGTAGGATACACCAACCTTTTGTCACATGATTCTGTAGTATATACCTTCACTGTTTCCAAAGTGCAGATAACACTGCTCCAAACCAGGGAACACAAGCTGATATTTAGGACTGTTCCTAATATAAGGACACAGACTGCCTTAGGAATTTAGTGAACACAAGATAGTCCGCTACATAAAATCGGTGTCTGGATGAGAGAACCACTTGACAGGCTTATGTGCTATGAGTGAGTCTTTATGTCTAACCAAAGCTTAACATTTTAATTTGGTAACATTTGCATACAAAAATTCAACACAGGCCTTAATGTAACTCCATTCTCAACCTTTTTTCAGTCACGGCATCTTTTAATAGTATGCAAAATCTAGAGGAACCCCAATCTAAAAATGTTAAAAAAAAGACTTTTGGCCCCTCTTCACATTAGAAACCCCCTTCATATCAGAGCCTCCCTTTAAAATCAGACCCGCTTCACATCAGGAGCCCCCTCCTTTCACATCACAGTCCCCCTTTCTCAAATCAGAAGCCTCCCTTCACATCATAGTCCCACCCTTTCACATCAGAGTCCCCTCTTCACATCTGAAGCCCCCCTTCATATCAGGAGCCCTCTTCATATTAGAAGCCTGCACTTCACATCAGAACTCCCTCTTCACAGCAGATAATCTCTCTTTCCCCCCTTCTCATCAGAGTCTTCAGTCCACTTTCACATCAGAGTCCTGTGTCCAAGTGCCTCTGTTCAAAAATGTCGAGGCACCCCTCAGGAAGCCGGAAGGCACCCCTGGGTGCAGCAGCCTCTTAGGGCACCCTGGTTGAGAAAGTCTGATCTAACTGACTGTATCCTTGCTCTTTGCAATGATTTAGGCAATCATTCTAATGTTCTGATATAATGCAGCTAAATTATTGTTTTATTTTGTAGGGAAAAATCTTCCATTTTAATTTCTAGTTGCAAACATCTAAACATTCTCAAAAAGGTGTAAGTTATTGTGAGGTTGACAAATAACAGGACTCATATCCAACACCCAGGACTGTCTCTGGACATATAGGCAGCTGGCCACAAATTTGTGTCTTCATTTTCGTATGAACTTATATGTGATATAAAAATTGTTATGGCTTACAGTGCTGGCTACATTTTTGTATATACTGTATTTTTATGTTATCAGTCAAAATGAATATGTCTATCTCTTTTTTACAGATATGGCGGAAGCGCTGGTTTGTTCTGCGACGAGGGAGGATGAGTGGGAACCCAGATGTCTTAGAATATTACAAGAATAACCATTCCAAGAAGCCTATCAGGGTGATAGACCTAAATGAGTGTGAGGTACAGAAGTACATTGGTGTGAACCTGATTAAGAAGGAATTCCAGAACAGTTTTGTGTTCATAGTAAAAACAGCTTTTCGAGCATTCTACCTTGTGGCTCGGACAGAGGAAGAAATGCAAAGTTGGATGTACAACATCACCCAGATCTGTAACTTTGGACAGCTGGAAGATGGCACAGGTAAGAAAGAAGACTCACTCCAGGAACATTTTGAAGTTGATTTACTAAAGGCAAATAGGCTGTTCACTTTGCAAAGGGATTTTCAGCTCCGTGAATGTGTTGCAAATTCACTTTACAAAGAATACCCAATTATGTGGAAGGAAAATGAAAATGAAAACATTATTTTGGCCTGCACATGATTGGATGTCGGAAGTCAGCACAGGCCGTGTGCCACCCACCGGGACGTCATCACGCACGCGTGCGACGTCATCACGCATGCACATAATGAAGTCATACTCAACCAAGATGGCTGCCGGCAGAGAGAGGAGGGGGTGTTCACTAGGCGGGATAAGGTATGCCACCGGGTCCTCTCTTGTACATCTGTCAGGGGGATGACACCAAAATGACTGTGAGTCGTTTTAGTGCCACCCCCTCTGATGGTGTCACCCGGTGCGGTGACACCCGGTGCAACCCCCGCACCCACCTTGTGATGCCATTGAGTCATCAGAGCTTCACCTAATTCACTAAGCTTTTAAAATGAACTGCCTCCTTTCCGTAGCCCTCCTGCACTAAAAAAAGTACTACATGCAGTACTTGTTTTCAACGCACACCACCGTGACACGGTGCTGTGAACTGAGCCAGTTTGAAACTAGGTTAATTGCCCATTTGAAACAAGCTGCCAGCACAGCCTCAACGCATCTGGTGTGAATCAGCCTTTATACTAAACGCCTGTGGGTTTACAAAGAGTTCTTCAAACTCATGCATTCAGCTAAGAAATTGACCTGAGCTTGCATGTTCTTATTGGCCAGTAATGCTGCTCACCTTAGTGATAGGCCAATAGCAATATGTAGGAGATGGCAGGCCAGTACTCAGCTCTACCAAGAATTGCTTGCTATAACACTATAGGAGTCAGGGCAATGTGGGTGCCAAAGACTCCATTATAGATCTGGGGCCTGTTTGGCACCTTTATGGTACAGACAGATTTACTTTCAAACTGAACTCCTAGCAAAGAGATAAATACTGTTTTATCCACACAATACATCCAAGTTTGTGACCTGCTATTTCTATACAGCAGTGAAGAATACAAATTGTTCAGTCACTCAAGCTGCTAATTTGACAGTAAAGGAACAAAATCACCCAGATGACCATCTTTGTGTCCCTTCTACTGGAATCATGTCCTGATTGACTGAGATTGCTGTCCCTCCATCCCAGCATGACTACTACTGTGTGGGGGATTACAGGATTTTGATATTAAGAGATGCAAATAGCTAAGTGAGTTCTACATGAAAATACATTGAATGTTTTATAAATGAATACATGTTTGGAGGGCAGTTTAAATGGTTCACACCACACCATAGTGCAATGTATAGCACATATGTGTGCAACATGTGTGCGCTGCTGTGCAGTGTGCTGTGATGTGTTGCTATAACAAATTGTAGTGCTCCAAGGTTTTTTGTAACCTATATGTAAATTATATGTGCTGCAGCGTGTTGCAATGCATTGCAGGGTGTTGTAATGTGCTGTGATAAAATGTTGCCTGAATTTTTTTATAGCAACCCAAACCAGTGCACCACATTGGTGTGAACAGGCCATATATAAAGCAAGGCTTTTGGCTTGTCTCTGTGTTGGGACTGCCTTGGGTAATGCTGCCCAAGGCAGCCCAACAGGATTGGTGCGAACCAACCCTAATCAGGACATGATTAATCCTATTTGTGGGCTGTATCCAGAAAACAAATAAATGATAGAGGTTACATTTTAGAAATAAAGCTTTTGGTTAATTTTGTATACATCGCCCTGAAAACAATATCACAGACAATAAAGCCCTTGCTCTTTTTCTGTCCTGCTTGAAAAATGTACCATATTTTTAGGTCATGCTGGGAAAAAAACGTTTCTTTTCATTCTCTAGTTAGAAAATCCTTATACATAATTTATTCAGCCAGCTGCTGCAATATAACATTAATGCACACCGATACTATTACCAGACTCAAAGTAGAGTGCGGTGAGGCTGCTTTGCACCCAGGGGAGTATCTTGCAGATCTGATAGGGGGAAGGTTAGGTAAAGGGTAGCAAACAGTGGCCATAAACGATGGGTAATCAGGCTGTAAATAATGGAAGAAGCTGCAGTCTAGGAAGCTTTGGCTAAAAGATAAGGCCTCTTTACATGTAGTTTAAAAGGAAATGTTTGAAACATATAAGCAATGTGTGGTTTAGGCTGAAAGTCCTCCTAGCATTACTTCTGTTGTTTTTGATGCATAAATAAGATAACAAGCTCTTTGTTTGAGGAGATGATTATATTGTGTATAATGCAAATAGCAACACTGTTGCTTTTGTTTTGTGTATTTTTGCAGGTTGCACACACACAACCCCTTTGCATGCAGGAAAATGTTATACTGTATATCTAAGCAAGCACATTCTATTGCATGATACTGCATCTGTAGAATTATGCTGAGAGATGCAGGTTCCCAAGGGATAGCAAATAGATTTTGCCTAACTCTCCCTGGCGCTCCGGGAGTCTCCCGCTATTAGATAGCGGCTCCCGGCCGCCCAGGAGAGAAACACTTTCTAAAGGAAAGCACCCGCCCACTGCTGCTGTCAATCAGTAGAGGGGACCTGCAGTTCTCAATCAGGTCCCCTCTATTGATTGACAGCAGCAGAGGGCGGGTGCAATAGCTAGTTTGCTATTGGCTATTGCAAATTGAAATAGCCAATAGGAATCTAGCTATGCATTCCTATGGTGATTTTTTTTTTAAATTTGATGGCAGCAGAACTGCCCGGCCAATAGAAAACAGTTGGGCGGAGCTAGCTGTCAATGCTAGCTCCACACAATCGTTTTCTATTGTTTTTTTCCACTTTTTTAACTATTTTGCTCAGCGGCATTCGGCTATTTACTCACTGCTGTTCAGCATGAGAATAGACCGAACAGCAGTGAGTAGCCTGCCAGAGGTTCGGCTTAGACGATCCAGATGTTGGATCGGCTGAGTTGAACTCCTTCTGCATATACAAGCCGATGTCACATACAAGCCTGAAGTGAATAGCCGAGCAGCGTTCAGCTCACTTCACTTAGGGTTGGTTGTTCACTCGGCTGCCTACGGCAGCTTAGTGAAAAGACCCCATGTTTTTGCTTAGACCTGTGTCCCATGTGGGTTAGAACCTGTGTTTACCGACCACACAACTACAGGCTGTAGGTGAATAGATATGTGTGCCTAACCGCGCAGGTCTGCTAGGTCTGCTGTGGCTCCAAGGGGATGCATCTATAAATGTTCAATTTGAATTTTAATGTAGTTGTTTTTTAAGATGTTTAAAAAAAAAAAATTATGAGGATCCTAGAACACTAGGGGTAGTTTGTTTTACAGCTCCCTTTGTCTGATTGAAACCTCAGACTTAGCTGTTGAATAAGGGTTGTTGCTGCTGTGACTACTCATCTAAGTTCTGTAAACAGCCGGTCTACAGTATACATAAGTGTAATCTCTACATCTGAGATGAGTATTGCAGTGTAGCTTTTGCATCTGAGGTCTGTATTGCAGTGTAGCCTTTGCATTTGAGGTCTGTATTGTGGTGTAGCCTCTACATCTGAGGTCTGTATTGCAGTGCAGCCTCTACATCTGAGGTCTGTATTGTGATGTAGCCTCTACATCTGAGGTCTGTATTGCAGTGTAGCCTCTACATCTGAGGTCTGTATTGTGGTGTAGCCTCTACATCTGAGGTCTGTATTGTGGTGCAGCCTCTACATCTGAGGTCTGTATTGCAGTGTAGCCTCTGCATCTGAGGTCTGTATTGTGGGGAACCCTCTACATTTGAGGTCTGTATTGTGGTGTAGCCTCTACATCTGAAGTCTGTAGTGCAGTGTAGCCTCTACATCAGAGGTCTGTATCGCAGTGTAGCCTCTACATCTGAGGTCTGTATTGCAGTGTAGCCTCTACAACTGAGGTCTGTATTGCAATGTAGCCTCTACATCTAACGTCGATATTGTGGTGTAGCCTCTACATCTGAGGTCTGTATTGTGGTGTAGCTTCTACATCTGAGGTCTGTATTGTGGTGTAGCCTCTACATCTGAGGTCTATATGCTATTTATTTAGTTGAGCTGGAATTTGGGGGTCTTCTGCTAGAATTTTAATTAAAAATACAGTTACCTTTTAAAGGTTTCCCAACATTGAACTTTGCAGTAAACACATGGGTTGAGTTATTTTTGCAGAAATTCATATTTTTAGATGCTTGCTTGTCCATATTGTTGTTATTGTATACATGTAGAGATTAGCCCCTACAATGTTTATGCCTAAATGCTTGACAACTGCTGAGAAGAGCCACATGCAGAGTGCTTGGTTTTTAATGGGTCAGCATACCTATAGACTTGCATTGTGAGTAGGATCAATGAAGCACAACTATCTAGTGCTGCAAAGGAGAAATCAGAGTCTATGTATTTAGAGAGCAAATATCATTGTCACATGTACATGTATAATTCCAAGTTACAGTATATGAAGAAATTTGAGTGAAAAGCACTCACCTCATAGTTCTCCTTTAAACATTAGCACGCCTTGCTAAGATTATTTTCATCAAACTGATCTTTTACATGCATATATAAAACATTTTTTAAGACTATACATTGCCTTTTTAAAGTGCATCTATAGCCAAACATTGTTTTAGTTTTGGATAGAGTAGGGAAGGTTTGGGATCTGTCAAGTTTGTATTGCGGATATTATCCTTCAACCTTCCTGTTTGTCCTGTCCAGTAATGGGCAATCCAAAATTTTACAGTTGTCACCACAACAAAGGTTAAACTCTGGGGAAAATTATGATGAACCTTCGCAGTGGGGCTACCCCCACACTTCAAGGGTGTAGTGCTTGTTTGTGTATAGGGAAGAAATAGTTATACTCACCTGATCCTCTGAGCCAGCTTGCTCTAAAGGTGCCCATACACCTTACGATTATTGTACGATAATCGTATGCACTCGCGCTTTCGTCCGATAATCGCAAGGTGTATGGGCCGTGTACAACCGCAAATACTGTACAATCGTATGACTTTTG